CATCGAATCACAGAAACGATCATATCCGTGAACATCCCTCAATATAAGTATGACCTCCACCATGTTTTTCACGGTTTCTTTGATTGGACAGTCATCGTCATCTCCACCGTGGTTTTGGGAATGGCAGTGATAGCAGGCTAGCTCAATTGCGTACGCGTCTCCGTTGTAGAATTTCGGCGGGTGAACGTTTTGTATGAATTTATTCCACCGTAAGTGATGTGAGAAGCCTGGAACTAGTTTATTCCTCGAAATTTCTCTTGCGATGTCATCCAATTGTTTCTGGGTGTTCAGCTCAAAATCACTGAGATCGGAACCAATTTTCTTCCTTTTGGTGTCTGCTACTGGCTCATCGCTTTCTGAACTCTCAGGAGCTGATCTCTTTGAAGGTATATTGTCAGTATAATCGTGAGCATTCTGGATAACACGAGCCTCGAGATTGTCTTGCACCTCCAGTGGACTCAATCTTCCCATGGTTTTAATCAGTTCTTCTTCTGAAGAAAATCTCACCATGAATGTGTCAATCAAAGGCCCAATTTCAGAGTCATGTGTGGTATTGAAGAGATTCTTGTAGAAGATGTGGTCTATCCTTGAGTTTTCATCACACTGAAATCGTCTCTGATAATGCTGGTTCATTATAACTTGTAAAACGTTTTTGCACTCATGCGTAAGAAAGAGAAACTTCACATCTGCTGTCTCTGTGGGTTTCCGAGCAGCTCTTCCAATGATTTGAGCCAAAGTTGGAAGTGACAAGAATCCTGTAAGGTAGACCGATGTGATGCCATCTATATCGAGACCAGAGCTAGCAGTAGTTGTAGTGAGCAACGTGATACCATCAGAAGCTGTTCTAAGCCGATCTTGTATTGTCTTCTTCTCCTGGGCTGGAAGCTCCCCATGGAAAACACAGCAATGTCCTTTTTCGAGCTGGCTTAGACTTTGTTGATAACTCTCCATGGCTTTCTTGGATTCAAAGAATATGAGTGATTTTTCCTTTCGCTGGATGGTCTTGTTGATGAGACTGGACATCATCAGCTTCTGCTCCTCAGTTGAATCCACCACAAACAGAGACAGTTTGATGTTTGAGCGAACAAACGTTTCTTCGTTGAATATCTTGACTTTGTTCGAGCCACTCGCCTCAGTAGCAAAAATGTTTTCCAAAGAATCATTTGAAGCTGTAGTGTGCAGACCCAACTTCTCAAAGAGCTTTGGGTAATGAAACTTAAAGACAGTACCGGATAACAATGTCTTGGGGATATTACTCCCCTTTAACATCATCTCTGCTCCAGAAGTTGCCAATCCTCTATAGCTAGCATCGTACAACAGGACGTGAGCCTCGTCGACAACTATTCGTGAAATGACATGGAGGTTTCCATCCACAGCCATTTTGGGTTTTGCAAATCGATCCATGAACGAAAGAACAACATCGTCTCTACAGTGTTCAAGTTGCAGCAGAACAATGTCATGAGATATCAGAGTATCTGGGCTCATGCCATTGCTTGGAAAGTACTTCACAAAGGTAGCCATTCCTTTAAACTTCGCCTCAAGCAGTTCTTCGTATTGCTGTAGCAAGGCAACAAAGGGAACAAGTATTACTGTCGTACGCTGCACCCCTGGATGATTTGGATTATGTCTGTGTTTAAAGTGCAACGCATCAGCAGCAGCTGGAAGCAGCGATGCAATCGTCTTCCCGAAACCAGTCTTCAAATTCACCAGAATGGATT